TTCTATTCTAAATCTGGCTTTTTTCTTTTTTTTTTTCATTATGCCTTAAGAAATAAGTTTAGCTTGCATTTTAGATTGTAGGGATGTTGTTGTCTTTAATGATCAAGGTACAAGTCTAAAGTAGGATTTCTCCAGCTACATTCCTTTTTTTTTTTATTTTCAGCCCAATGATTTTGGTTAAAATTTGGGCCATTATTGCATCTCAAGCTCAAGATATGATGACTAAAGATGGTCTCACAGAGCCAACAACAGAACATTGGGCTAAAGCAAAAGCACCATTTAGAAGGTCATTGTTGAAAGTTGTCTCTGTTGTAAATAATTAAAAAATTGGTCAACAGAAATATTTAGATTTATATTTTCTAACAATTTTCTGTTTTAGATTCATTGCCTATGGTACCATGCCTGCTATCAAACGTATGCCTCATATATTGCCAGTGTTTCAATCTGTATTTGCTACTTGTGGAGGAGGTTTAAAATTTAATATAACAGAAGAAGAATTTAATGGTCGCTATTACCAAGCTGCTTGCAATCTGCAGTGTTTTTCACCATCAATCACACCTTATCATAAATTTATGGATAACATCAAGGAAGACATCAGAGCTGTAGGTTTCAAGTTTCTTTTTGTGACTTAAGCTTAATGAATACTTAAAAGAACAGCAAAAGGTTTAAACAAAGGTTGTTCACATTAACTACATCCAATTAGCAGAGAATTTTTTTTTTTGAGGTATATTATTTTTTACTCTTTTTTTCTCTAGATTGGTATGTTGAAATACTTGACAGAAAGACCACCAGAGGCCCAGTTTGCGGCTATGTGTCCTTTGCATGCATGCAGTAATCATTCTTGCTTTAATAATGCTGAGGTTTGTGACTTAGACATTAATGGCCGCCCAGGGATACAGATGATAGCTAAACGAGATATCAAGTAAGCTATTTCTTATTTTTTGACAATAAATACAAGATTCTGAAATAGACTGTTGTTGTTGTTGAGGCAAATATCAATAAAAAAATATATATATTTAAAAAATAGTTCAGAGTACAGAACCTATAGTCACAGTAAATTTACTTTATTTGTGTTTTTTCAACAAGGTTTTCAGAACAAACTAAAAACTATAAACTCCCGAAGTTTTTATACTTTTTATAAATGTTATATGATGACTTATTATTTTCTAAATCTTCATGAATTGTGATATCCTAAATTTGGTTAAATACTATTATTATAATATTTATATTTTCAACATTTTTAATCGATTTAAAGCTGCTTTATGTTTAGTATTATGGTTGTATTGTAATAAACAATAATATCATTTCCAATTTTAGAAAAGGAGAAGAGATCTGCATAACTTATATAGACACTGCTATGCCAAAATTACTACGAAAAGCTTGGTTATATAAATCCTTCAATTTTTGGTGTTCATGTCAGCGGTGTGAGTTTGAAGGAGAACAGCCTAATGAATGCACTAACTGCCATCTTAAGGCTCAAGATGGGAAGAAATTTTTAGCTTGTGGTCAATGTAAGCGAGCCTGGTACTGTGGTGTGGTTTGCCAGAAAGAGGCCTGGAAGAAAGGTCATAAAATAATTTGTCAGACTGACCACTCACAGGTAAACAGCCCTGAAGGTTATAAGTCTTAATTAGTGGCACTAGACTATGTGCTTGATTATTCAGCATTATAAGAGGCAGTAACCAATTGATGTGAAGATCTGTTCCCAAATAAATGAAGACTGTCACTTTTACTCTTTAAAATCTGAATGTATTTCTAACACTTGTTTTTCTCATTGACTGAATTTGAATTCATTTGACTTTTAGGGGTTTAGGTGCACTGACTTAATTTCACATTATCATACATATTTTCTGGTACCGGTAGTTAAAATAGATCTGGCATAATTGAGCCAAACATTTTCTGGGATGAATTAATCTCTTGGAACAGGTTTGCACATTGTTCATAAAGACTCGCTGTTGAAGCTTTACACCTAGTCTCTGTTCATGTGTGCTACCTATGTTTTGAAAAATACACTGATCCCAAATACACTGCTCACTTGCTTTGTAAATCACTATGAATCTTACTATCACACTGTAAACGGTCTTTCATTTTTTTTTTTTCATGCATTTTATTAGACATTGTAAAATCTTTTCTGGAAAGATTTTTGAATCCAATTCCATAATAATTTGTTTCTATAAATTTGCTTTTGGAAAAGATTTTACAGCTTGATATTTTAGCCAGAAACTAGCTACATAAATAGTTACTTTAGTTTATAAACCTTTATAAACCTACTTATCCTAAGAATGTTGAATAGTATTGCTATGCTTTAAAATGATTATTATTATTATACATGCATGCTAGATCTTTTTTTTAAAAAATATTTAGTTACTTAGGTTAAACTAAGAACATTAACTCTAATGCCTGGATCCATCTTTTCACATTTAGAATATGGAAATAAAAATACGTTCCCTTACAATGGATTGAGACTAAATCTTGAGGTTTTTTAGTCAAAAAATATTTTGGTAATGCAAAAAATAAAAAAGGACAACTACTTTTAGTGATTTAAATATTCATAAAAATTGTTTATATTTTACAGAGCAGAATCCATGTGTGAATCTTTACTACCTTCTACAAAACACTGTGTGATTCCATGCTACCTTCCTTGTGTGACACCAAAACCTGTGATGTGTGATGTAGCCAAATCCTCTACCTCCCCAATAAGAGTTTTTACAAGTTTCCTAAATAACTGAATAATGTTTTGCATATATTGTGCAAATTGTTTATATACTAACTCATTTGTTTTTCTTAGCATTTGTGTTTTTCTAAATAGAAAAAGTTTGCCACTAACAAATTTGCATCATCTTTTCAGCACTTCAAACATATTGAAATGACTTTGTTTTGTTTACAAACTATTATTGAATTGTCTCTCCATTTCTTATTACATTGAATAAAAAAAAAGATCTATTATCTTAACTAATACCACAACCTTGTGGTAATAGAAGGATATCTAACTAGTAGATTGTAAAATATAGTGAGATAATAAGTACTTAAATGTTTAGGCCATGATGTCTGCATATTTCCCTCTTAACAACTTTAGTTTCAACCTTTATTGTAATTGACGGTTCACCCTGTGATATTTTTATATGCAACAGCTGAAAGAAATAGTGTAAACCCAACAATCCGATGGTAGAGCACCAGAGGGCTATAAGGAATTGCCATGGACAAGTTTCGATAGTAACTATACTATGTGATATTTTTTGGATCTAAGCTACACAAGCCTTTAAAATGAAGCAGTTTTGATCTAATCAGTATTTATATCTAAAAATTCTTGTTCAGTTGTTTGATGTCTTGACCAGTGTGAAAACAGTTGATTTAAAATATTTTTCTTGTTCTATTTAAAAAGAATTAAGATTTTTTTACTAGATTTAAATGATTACAGGTCTCTAATTTCTTTACCTTTAATTAGATGAAACTCGCATAGGCCTACCAACCTTTTTGAATGACCTACCTTATTAAACGCTTGCCATAATTGTTATGTTTCTGATGAAAAAAATTTGAATCTAACAAGTTAGTCTAGTTTTCTTTTAATTTTATTTACTTCTTTTATGTTAACATACTGGCAAATATTAAATAGAATTGTTTGAATAACTTTTTTTTATTTTAATCAAACATAATACTAAAACTAACATTTCTTTTGGTATAAATTTCATAATAAAGAAAGAATATCTATCATCTGTGAAAAGAAAATTTTATCTTGCTTCTTCTACCCAAAAACTATGATATGTGTTTATGTGCAATTTTTATATTTATCTATTATATTTATGTATTTAAATATAACAAATTATCATAAAAATGATACAATATAAAACACATATATGTTTTATGACTATTAGGTTTTTGCCAAAGTTAAGTATCATTTTATGTCTGCATCAGCATTTCTCAAACTCTTACTAGTAACATCCCTGTAAATCAAAAATTGGGCACAGCCAAGTGAAGTCCTGCATTCTGAGCTTCAGAAATGTATTCGTCAGGTATCCATAATACACTATTTCTCCTAGTAAGGAAAGCCCAGATCAAATAAATTGAAATTAATAAGATACTATACAAGGTATACATCTTGTTCAGCAAGACATCTTGTAGCAGGCCTATATTGTAAAAATATCTTCTTGCAGGAAAGCTACACTTAATAAACAACACTGTAACGCCAGATTCATTAGTGAATTTTTTATACGTGTTAACACACATGACATTACAACATTCACTCCCTTAGTCAAGGGGAATCATTCAAGCTACTCCTATAAACAATGTCAACATTCATTACAATTTCTCTTTTCTTTTTCTCACTCATTCTTTTTTTAACTTTAAAGGCAAAAATCCAGAATCAGGAAAAATGGAAGAAATCAATTTAGAAATAGCCTAGTACATATTATAATAAGTATTTAATACATGACAATAGAAGGCCTACAATGTAGACGAGTTGTGTTAAGCAAAATAACTCCAAAATACAGTCAGTTTTATTTTATTTATTTAGTTCTTCTGTTTTTTTTTCTCTTCGTGTCATTAAATTCTAGAACTACAATTGTAGTTTGTACAATAACAAAATGTACTAGTAGGTATATTCACAAAACTCGTCAAATTTGTGAATGCTTTGTGCGAGGTCGTCTTTGGCCAACTTCTTGTCTAGAAACTTCAAAAGTCTCGCAAAGCCTTCCCGCCATTTGAGCTTTGATAGCTCTAATTGTTCGAACACTTTCTCTCTGATCCCTGATTCACTGTTTTGTGGTAGTGAAAAGGGCTATCGCTCTTTTATCTTCTTTCAGGTCGGTAATTTCATTCCATGCGAGTAACTCTTATGTTTATATAATTCGTATGGCTTTTCTTTAAAGAATGATGGGATCTCTATCCTAGTAGCCATTAGTACTCCAAATAGGATCGATAATGTAAATAATTTTACTTACAGCTCTGCTACCACTTGTTAAACTATGAACGCTACACTTAATAAAGAACGCAAACACTATAACGCCAGATTCATAAGCGAATTTATTTACACACTGTGTTAACACACATGACATAACATTACAACATTCATTCTTCTTTTATGAAGTAACGTCTGTATTATATAAGATCTCTCAAGAAAACACTATGAAAGACCCTACTTAGAAGATGAAACATCACTCAAATTAAAATAATTTTTGTGTAAAACCCAAGTCATGTTTCTCTTACTTCATTCAAACACAAAGATGGATTGCTTACAGCAAAGTGAACACAGGAGAGGTTTTGTCCTTGAAAAAAAAAAAAAAAAAAGTCTTGTTCTCCCTTGAGGGAGGCAATCAAGTCAACCATAATTGAAATAAAGATGAACTTAATTGAAATAAAGATGAACATGATAATTTTATTTACAACACACTAGGTGTAAAGATTGAAATTAAGTTTCCTAATGTTATTTGAACACAATGTGATCAGCCATCTACCTTTACTTTCCTAGAGATAGAATTAAATACCAAAAGATACTCAAGGAGGCTTTTCATTCCAGATTTGAATAAAATGCAGCTTTCTTTAATGATTGTAACTTTGACTAAAATGTTATTTGAAGTGCTGGTTATAAACGCGTCAAACTGGACTATTAAGTGCTGGTTATAAACATATTAAACTGGACAAATAGCAAGTCGCATAAAATTCCATCATTTTGTTTCCCCAACTTTATTATCTCTATCCTTTAGAGAAAGTAAACATTTAATTTCACAAACGTGCATTGCAAACGTGAAAAGCTTTCCAAATAAAGTCTACAATTATTTTTCTTGACTAAGAAAATCAGATCAAAGTTTAGTCTACACTAACTCTAATGTGGAAAGCTCGAGTATTAATTCTGTTTTTTTGTTAAATACAATAATTTTAAATATATTTTGAATTCAGACTACTAGCAAAATATTTATGAAATTTCACAATATGATTTTAGCCTATGACAATAAAAATGTATATAAAAAAACAATAACAATAAAACATATTTAAAGATTTGAAGCTGAACTATGTGCTTTGGAATAACATTCTGCCATTGTATGGTCTCAAATTATTATATTTAAAAAAATATTATTTTTCAAAACTTATAGGCTACATTCTCATAAATCATGTTTGTGTTCAGTATAATCATTGTTTATCCACTGATTTATTTTTTTATTACATAGACTGAAATGAAAAATTATACAAACAAAAAAGTCAGTTGTTCTTGTATTTTTTAGCGGCCCCCGAAAGGTGAATAGACGCTCTCAGTTTTGTGTGGTCCGTCTGTCCTGTTTAGTTCTCGGGAACTAGAAAAGATATTGAAAATCCAACATCATGATATTTTAGACCTTTCAAAGTTCTAATGTAACGGCTTTTTTTCTTTCTGATAGCAAAAAATTTAATTTTAGATTTTTTTTTAAGAGAAAAAAATTATTTTAAATGCATATAATTCAAAACAATAATTAATAAGTAGTTTTTCATATTATCGCGTGAACTGCAAAGTGTGATTATTCCATAGGACACTTAACTAAAGGAATAAAAAAAAAATGTGTTTTTTTTACAGAAATTTTTTTGTCTTGAGGCTTTGAATAAGATACAAACAAAAATTAGATCAATTAGATAATCATTAAATATATATATATATATGAGAATACAAAAAGCAGTATTTTTCAACCTTCGGCGAAAAAACAAACAAACAAAAAACAGTCATGTTGAGGCCTTTCTCTTGCAAGTTTTGGGGTCTGGGGGAGCGCTGTAAGCCTTCCGAGTGGGGTTCGGGGCAAAGCCCAGACGCCAAAAGCATTTTGTTGCATTCTTTACTGCAGAAACGCATTCTCCTGACATCTACAGCTCTTTATCTATCAGAGGGTTCGAGGCAAAGCCCCGATGCCAAAAGAGTTTTCTTGCATTCTTCACTGCAGAAACGCATTCTCCTGACATTGTGGCGGATGTCAGGTGGCGGCCCACATCTGACCAGGCGTGGAAGCATGACCATGTCCAGACTCCACCAGTGGAGTTCGAGGCAAAGCCCCGACGCCAAAAGAGTTTTTTTGCATTCTTCACTGTAGAAACGCATTCTCTTGACATCTACAGCTTATTATTCATTATGGGAGTTCAGGGCGAAGCCCCGACGCTTAAAGCGTTTTCTTGCATTCTTCACTGAAGAAATGCATTCTCCTTACCTAAAGCTCATTATTCATCCTATTAAAAAAGGACCTTTTGAATAATGTTGTACTTGAAAAATATTCTAATATGAATTTATAGGACCTTAACACATTGCAAATAAAACCGATCAGATACCCTACATATTTAGATTAAGGCTTTGATGATCGCTGCCAAAAAAAAAATATTCGATAAATAATATTCAATAAAATTTAAGCATAAATTAAAAGTTATAGTCCCAAATTTAACTTGAACAATTTCAGATTGAGTAAAGGTTGGAAAAAAACATAGCCCCCTCCCGACCCCACCAAATCTGCCAACATACAGGGGGGGGGGGGGGGGGGGGGGCGCGCGAAATAATCTAAAAATAGTTTGAAATATAAATAATTAGTTATATTATTAACATAAGTAATAAATTCGTATACAAATTGTGTGAATTCTATACTATCCCCTGGATCCACCAGTGCATGGGAAGGGATCCAGATGAAGGTGACATCCCTATGGTCAGCTGTTATTTGGTCCAAAATCTTTAGGCTCTTATGTACCAATGGAATTTCAGTCTTCATCCGCCCCAAAGCTTGCAATGCAGATTTGGAGTTAGAGCAGATTATAAATTTCCTCCTTTCTGATGCTTTGACGGCCATAAGTGCAAGTGATATTGCATGTAATTCAGCCGTAAAGATGGAGCATCCATCGGGGAGTCTATGGGAGATTGTTTTGTTCCAAAATGAGCAGGCACACGCGACCTTTCCGTCCATTTTGCTGTTTATTTTAATGTTAAACAGGGTTACTGAGAGAATGCTGCCTTGGAGTACGCCCATTTCCTGGTCATAAGTGTCAGAAGCGGACCTGAATTTTAGATCTGATCGAACTGAACCCAAACCAAACTAGCTTATAACTAGGCTATTGATTGTGAGTACAGGTGATGTTATCTTCCCATCGCTTTCTCTGTCTTCTTCTTCTTCCTGATACTGTTCCCTAAAGAAAGGTCTTTGAAATCCCTGAGGACCTTGTGATGTGGCCTTAGAGTTTGAGTTTACATTTTTTGACAATGGTTAGCAGTGACATAATTACTTGCTCTAATATTTGCTTTCTATAATATTATCTCATACCATAAATGGTAGTTGCATAATGTATTCTGATGAACTAAACCACAATATAATCAAATGATATTATTGCACTGCATTGTGATGTCATTCATTGGTATTGCTATAGAACAACATTAAAATTGACATTACTTTGTGTAATTCCAACAGATCTAATGCACAAATTCAAATGATCTATTTATATTTATGCTATTCTAAGTATTAAATCCAACCTTACATAAATAAGTTTTAAAAAAAATATATCAAAATGTAATCTATGAAAAGTTTTTTAATGTTTAAAATGACTGATGAAATAAAACTTGTACTAATCAAAACAACTTATCACATATATAATATTATATAAAAAAATATTAAAAATAATTTAATTCTAATAAGCTTAACTTTGCTTGTTTCATTTGGCTATCAGGCTTAGGCTCTTGGACCAAACATACTGGACAGTTCACATGTTGGTTGATCACTTGTCCTAGATCATAGCCCTGTAATAATAATGTTATAACTTAACTTTTTAACATAAACACACCTTTCATAAGTGCACGAAAAAGTGGAAATTAATGAAAATACACTCAAAAGGAATAATGAAAAGTGAGAAGCACTGAGCAATTATTTACTACTATATCTTAGGACAGTGGTCAGCAGTGACATATCATTACACACCGGCTATGTCCGTTGATTTTGATCTAGGGGGGTTCGTATTGTTTCCTTAGGCCAGAACTTTCCCTCATTTATTTTTTGTTTGCACTTCCCATAAAATGAGCTGCATTTGAACAATCCCCTGTAACATAGTTGTTAATTCTTGTAGTCTCTTATTTTTTTGACGTCTCAGTAGTCTCTTAACGTCTCCCTCTCTCTTTACCCTCAGCTTATCAGAATGTTTCTCACACACATATCTATATAATTTTGGCTGGTACATTCTAGTATCACTTTTCTATCCCCCCTCTTCCCCCAAAACAAACTCTGACATTTCTATTTTTTTTTAGTCTTAAAGACAAACTCAGACATTTCTCAACTTAATTATTCAATAAGAAATATTTTGCTTTTCATCTCCCCACCCCCCCCCCCCCCCACATATCAATTTTGTTTTGTTAGTTCACTTTGTGGTGAGTTTTTGTTTTTGTAAACTTTGTACACATGCATTTATGCAGCTGTTTCCTATTTTAAGGAAAAAAAAGAAAATATGCTTAAAAATAAAAATATGGAAGTTTATTTTATGTTGCTAGACATTTGTATTTAAGCTTTTATATGAACTGCATCCTTCTGGGTAAATACCAAAATGTAATAGCAAGCTTGTGATTTGTTGTGAATTTTGGCATCCAGACTGCGAGCTATCAAAACTTTTCTCAGTGACCCCCCTAAAAGATAAAAAGGAAGCTGTGCAAGAAATTTTAAGTGAATCCCCTCTGTATGTGAGCGTGATAGTAATAATGTTTTGTTTGGTGTGATGCACAAATTGTAAGACAAATTTCCTTAGGGACAATAAAGATTATTATTATTATTATATTTTAAATAATATGCATTTTACTCCTGGGTACAATTTGTATGAGTCAAAGTAAAAAAAGTGTATATGACAATGTGCTAAGTTATTAGTTGATAAGTATAAAATAAGTCAGCATGGTTGGGTCTTATAATTAGTGTTGGTTGTATCTGGATAGAACCTTAGAGGTCTATTTTGAGGGAGCTATTTCATAGGGGGAATAATTTTGGTTTTAATTTTGCAAAGGTGTGAAGATGTATTACATGGTTTTGTATCAAGATAAAAAGTCTAGCTTCCAGAGGATATGATGCTATTTTAAAATGTATGACATACATTCTAGCAATAAATATCATTATAAACCTGGTGGTGGCACAGATGGGGGTAGTGGTATGTGTGTAGTCAGCCGCCGCAAATCGCCCCAGGCCAGCGCTAGATAAGCAGTCAACTGTGATGAGTTACGACGGTCAGCCGAGACAAGTGTCAACATGACGGTTCGGGAAGGATCGGCATAGTGAAAGGCTCAGAAGCGTCACAAGGGATGTAGTCATGGGACGAAACTAGAAACGTCAAGC